AGTGCCAGGCAGGGGAAAAAATGGAACGATTTTCTGTTTATGTAAATCTACTTACACAAATGACCATTAAACTGATTTTGTATATGGATTGTTTTACTGTTGATAAATACCTTGTGTCTTTGACATGGCCCATTGACAAGGACTGCTTTGACAAGGCCCATTTTAAAGGTTTTATCTAGACAATCATTGAGTAGAGAAGGAGGTCAGTATACACTTTATATCCACCTAGAAGTAGGAAAATATAAAAGCATAAAAAATCTCTATACCCAAACTCCCCAAATACACACACACACACACACACACACACACACACACACACACCCCAAATCCTCACTTGTAAATAGATTAAATTGCCCCTCCAAAAAAGCTATGGAGTTGATTTCTCTGAAGACTTCAAACTAATTGAATAAATACTCCTAGTTTCATGGACAAGTGTTAAAGATTTTGAATCGATGGACTATATTTTTTAAAATCTAAAAATTACAAATTATACTATAATTATGCTGTCACAGATACTACAATGTGTGTGCTGTGAAATGTAACACCTATCAGCCAAAGGATTTTGTAGCCTAACAGATTTAAATAGCTGTGAAAAAGATGATTCTCTAGGCTAGTCTAACCTCAGCTACAGTACTGTCACAATAACAGTAAGAAAACAGCATTTCTCTGGCTCGAGATTTCACTGGTAGAATTATGGATGTCCCTCTTGGCCAAACCCTTTTTATTTCCAGCAAGGGCACTAGACAGTTTTCAAATGCTTCTGTTGTCACTGTTAATAATTTAACCACTGTTAAGTTATTGATTTATCAAGTATTTGTGAGCACCTATTGGCTCTGGAGATACTGCAGTGAGAAAAAAACAGGCAAGTGGAGATTCTGCAGTCTGCTGAATGAGGACCAGCATCTTCTCACCTAGAACCACAAGGTCTTGGTTCTAATCACAGCTTAAGAGCCAGATGGCCTGCCAAATCTACAGGCTTTGATCAACTTTGGGCCAGAACCTTTTCAAAAGGGTTGAGCTTTCTCCCTCTTCCCTCGTAGAGACTGAAGACAGCCCTCCCACCAGCAAGGCTATCACCTTCTAGCCATCTCAACCCTTCTGGTTACTCCTGCTTCTTCTCTAGCCCTTCTCACTGTCCTCTAGTGTTTTAATTCAGTCTTGGATGTCTTTACACATCCAGATATAGGGAAGCCCTGTATTTCCCCAGGCAGTATAGACTTCCCAGGTACATAAGGTCCCATTTTCAGGAAAGGCTGTGTAGGGTTCCAACATGAGTAGAGGTTCCTGATTTGGTAAACTGGAAACGGCATGCTACACTCTGGATGCCTCCTTTAAAAACAAAACAAAAACAAAAACAACCTTATCCTTTAAGAAATTTTTTCGGGGCAGGGGAAATAATAGAGAAGGAAAATCATTGCATGAAAAATAGATTCATTTAAATATTAACTTTGGGAGCATATGTATATAAGGTAAGTGCTTTTCTTACCCAACATGACTCACATAGGAAGAGGTATGTGCTGTATTCTAGACTCCAGGAGGCCTTAAACAACTGAAATGCTACAGAATAACACCTTAGATCTTATGCTTTCCAAAACATTTCCACATCCATTTGAGCTTCTAAATAATCAAGTGAGTTAAGGCCAAAATAGTCTCCATTAAACCAGGAAACACATTAAAAAAGTGGAATGATGGTTCGAAGGCATACAACTAGTTGTAATGTTTAAACTCAAACTTATTTTTCCTTCAGATAAAGTTAAGGCTTAGCTGATCAGAAACATCACCAAATATTTGCAGAGTTTTTTACAGTGTGCAAAGTGCTTCTACTTATTGTGTATACTTTAACCTAATCTCATTTTAACTTTTGATCCTAAATACCTCATGAATAGCCAGCATTATATCATTTATTTTCTGGTGAAAGTAGCTTCACACCATCTCCTTAGATGCCAAATAAAGCATTATTTGCACCTTACAGTCTTCTCAGAAGACCCAAAGTTCCATTGGCCCTTGGTGACCTAGATTATTAAGTCAAATCTCACTCTCCAGAGCTTCTTGAAAATACCTTTGAATCCTTGGATGAGAAACTCATCTAGTATTTAAAATCTTGCCAAGATTATGCAAGCCCACCCTCTCATCTTTCACTGGGATTGTCAGTTCATCAAACAATTGACTCTCTCAGGAATTTTGATAACTGATATGACTTTGAACATGGGATTAAAAAAAAATGTTTCTCTGCTTTATAAAGGAGTTATGCCGACTTAGTAGAAAGTCCCCCAAAAGTCATTGGTTATTTCTCATTTTCAAGTAATACATACTTACTAAAAAAAATGCAGAGAAAATAGAGAATAAAAAGATAATCCATGGACACATCACAAAAATAAATTCCTTCAGGGGAAAAATAAGGCTATCTCAAAATATTGTCAATGATAGGTAAATTAGCAGTGTTATATAAAGCTTCCTGAAAAATCAGAAATTGGTTACTAGAAATTTAAGCAACCTCATGCTTTTATTCTATACAATACAAAATCGACAATCTTTGGCTCGGTTTACAGGAATACCAAAGTGGTTACATTACACTCCTTTCTTATATTACATTATGTAGGCAATTTGATGATACTGTGGCTGAGATATTGACTCATGAAACAAAGCCAATGATACATTATCTCGTGTTGAAATAATTATTTGAAATATCTCTCCAGAATTAGGCCTTCTGAGAGTATTCTACTAGAAAGACCTTCACTGAAGGCAAGTCCCAGCCTGTTGAACTGGTATGTGAATTCACTGACAGTCACGCCACAAACACAGAACACAACTAGGTGCCAGTTCCTGTTCTAGGCACCAGGGATAAAACAATGGACAAAACACACAAATCCTTGCCCTTAGGAAGCTTATACTGGGGACGTGGTGTGTGTGTGTTGTGGTGGAGGGTGCGGGGGAGGCTGCTGAAGCAAACAATGAAACAAATAATATAGTACGTCAGAGGTGATAGTGCCAAGAAGAACAGAGCAAAATAGGATAGGCTGGGGTGGAGTGGGGGTGCGTATTTTTAATAGAATCAGGAAAGACTACAGAAAAAAGTGCCAGCTCTGTTTCTCTCCCATGAAGAGGGAAAAAGTGCAAAGGCCCTGAGGCCAGCATAGTAGGAAGAGCAGGAGGCCAGCAAGAACAGAGAAGGAGCAAAAGAGGAGGTGAGGACAGCCTTGTGAGAGCCTTGTAAGGACTTTGAGTTTTACTGTGACTTTAGGACAAAGTATCCTGGGAAAGAATTCTGCCCAAGGAAATTCAGGATAGATGTTTATCTATATCAACTAATTATTAACTGCAGATTACTTTTGCTTTGGAAAATAGAGCAAATTATGCTCCCTGCAATCTATACAAAACTGGGTTATCATTAAGTTATTCTATCTGTGGGCCCGGCCTTGGGCTCTGTGTTCCTGTGGACACACACTCATGCTCAGGGGATTCTTCTTAGATTAATCCCAGAGAACATTTTCTAAGTGCCTGGAACACTAACCACTTCCCAGACAGGCGGTAATGTTTCCTTGTTCTACTGACATTCGTTTGTACTCTGGGTAATCTTATGGGCGAAAAGGCAATGAAACATCCAGGGCAGAGTCTGTAAACTAAGAATACAGATAATATTAACAGTTTATATTATCTGGTGCTCATTCCTTGCCAAGTCCTTAGCTGAGATGTTTTCTTAGATTCTTTAATTTAACCCTATACAACCCTATGAGGCTGGTACTTTTATTGCTCCAGTTTTATCAATGAGGAAACTAATAGAGTAAGTAAAATTTCCTAAGACTACCTGGCCAGTAAGTCATGGGATCTCACAGAAACTCGGGCCTTTGAATCCAGAGTCCATATTCTGAAGCACTAAAATTAAGTGGATATAGAAGTTCTTTTGGTCTGACTTCTCAATTGCTAATTGTGTGAACTAGAAGTGTAGAATCAAAGTAGTATAGAAATGGAATATGAATTTTTTTTTTTTATCCAGGTAAAGGAAATAAACCTAAAGATACAGTTCTTGTTTTATTTCTAGACATTTTGGCCAAGCAAAAGTCCTTAGGCTATTACCGTTGAAGCAGTACCAATGGTGAGATTCCAAAATGTATTTTGTGCTACAATCCAATGTGGACCTAGTCATGTTACAAATGTTAGTCTCAGAGGCCATCTGTAACCACTTGAAAGATCTTCAAGGACTTAAACCTGTTT